CACACACACTCATGTCTATGTCTATTTATCGACTGGTCTGTATATATGTACATATGTACTTATGTATGTATGTATGTATGTATGTATGTATGTGCATATATATATATATATGTGTGTGTGTGTATTTATTTATTTATAATATACTTTCTTATATACACTGATCAAAGCATCGGGGGCATTCAGCAGGTCACGCGGAGAAGCGTTGGTCCGACTTCCTCCACGGAGAAGGTGAGGTCCTGTGTTTCGGCTCTGGGCTTCCTCGGGGAATCGGGCCTTGGGTTTGTAAGTTTGTGAGTTTACAGTAGGGTCCAGGGGTTTAGGGCCTAGGGCTTAGGTTTAGGGTTGAGGGGTTGAGGGGTTCAGGGTTCAGGGCCTGGGTTTGAGTTGTTTGCGCCTGGGTGGCGTCGAGCTTTGAAGACGATCGTGGCAACCGGAAGAATAGGAACAACACGGCCGCAAATGAGACTAACGACCGTAATTACTCATGATACGGAATACAGAAGGTGACGCTTGCAACTTGGAGCTTTGAAGGTCGGGTCTGGCTGTTCGCTTGGGTGGTTCAGCGCGGCCTTTCGGGAGTTGTGGAAGCTGCCGATTTCGCATTTTCGGAAGCTGCCGGCGACCACACGACTCAAGGCAACCAAACTACAGCTAGAACCCAAATTTCAAAGCAGCCGGCCTCGTCAAGCTACACCCTCACACTAGGGTCCCCAATTGCCGGGGGTTCGGGATTTTGAGTTTAGGGCATTCCTGGGCTTCGGCTGTAGTCTTGCTTCGTGATTGCCAGGCCGGGTGGTGCAAATACTGAGAGCGGAAAGTTACTCCTGCAGCGGGGTCGAGCCGTCGTGCCCCTGCGCTTTGGCTGCCAAGTCAGACATCTGAACCTGGACGGCCATGGGGGTAGGGGCTGTGGGCTTGAAAAGGTTCCGACAGGGCTCATTCTTTCTTTCCGTATCTCTGTCGCTACCTTTATTTCTGCAGGCCTGCTGTAGCGGCGAGACTCCTGGTGTCTGGCTCTCTCTCTTCTCGCGTCTCGCTTCTCTCCCCTTCTGTTGTACGTAAGGGTCCTGTCACGGACTCCTTTTCGGATGGGGCGGCCCATTCTTCGGCCCTTTCTTCGGGGCTTTACAGGCAGGGAGAGCTGTAAGACGGAGTCCCTTCGACCGACAGGGGAAGATTGCCACCTGAAAGAGGGCTGTAGGCTAGTTCGGCTCTCTGTAAACTCCCGTGCAGACGGTACCGGAGCCAAGGCACGGCCAGATCTGCTGGTCCTATGGTTGACGATCTAAATCCTGCATTATACCATAATTCCCATAGTTAAGGGTCCTTAAGGTAATGCAGGATTTCTATCATCAACAGTAGAGCAGTCTTTTCTACAATCAGGCTGCAGATGTCTTCTTGGTAAACACCCCTCGGCTTCCGGGCCCATCGCGCCTGCAATTGTGGGACAGCGGTCTCGTCGTAGTTCGCCACCAACTCCTCTCATCCACTAGCAGGCCACTAGCATCGATTAAACTACCACCAACACCGGCAGCTGCATCACCTCCACCAATAACCACAACACAACCAGTCATGATGATGATGGAGGCACCGCTGCTTCCGATGCTGCAGCTACTTCTACCAAGAATGTGTCCAACGACGATCGCAATGGCAACGGTAATGGCAATGATGCCGACGGTTCTGCTCACTCAGGAAGGATTACAGTGATGGTAATGGTAATGGTGGTTGTGATGATGGTGGTGGCAGACATGTTGGCGAAGATGAAGATCATTGTGACCACCATGATCATGACGATGACGAAGACGAGGAGGAGGAGGAGGAGGAAGACGACGGCAACGAAGGACGACAACGACGAGACCAGTAGACCCCAGTCCGTAGAAAATCTTGAGTTGAAGGGCGCGAGGCATGTAGGACAAGAGCCGAGCCCTGAATAGAGTCTCGGAGTCTTGGAGCTGAACTTGGGGACCACTATATCTGAACAAATCACTTTCCGTCACGTCGCTCAACGCCCAAGACCTCAATAGGATCCCCACAAATCGAAGCCCAAGACCTGCAGAAACAGAAAGCAGTGAACACTAAGCCGGAAACCATGATAACTGAAGAAGCTTCGGCGTGTGACTTGAAGCTGGCAAGATGTGCCTCTAACACCCGGGCCAGCAGGTGCACCCCCGACTGGTAGTCCAGGTGTGGATTGTTACCGACCTGGCAGCCGAAAACAGAAACGGCACGAACCTCCCACCACCAAAATCAGAATCACGAACGACGCTTCGGCTTGGGTAGTCAGCCGGGACAAGGGCGTCCCTGGGGTTTAGCAGGTATGTCGGCTTAAATAATCTGGAACATACCGAAGGTCGCAGCTGGATTGTGAACCTTTACATGATCACTCGCACAGCACACAGCGATAGCACCAACAGGCCTTAAGCGATGGCGGAGGCTGTTTACAAGGTGAGGTGTGTGCAGTCCAGCTTGCCTACATGACCTCTCCTCGTCAAATCCCCAAAACGAGGCCTGGGTCATGAACTGAGAGGCCCCCTCCAGGACAAAGGCGGGCATGCTCGTGACCTGGGCACTCCGAAAACTGCCCCAAAAACCCGCAACCCCAAACCCGAAGACGCTTTGGGGCTTAGGTTTTAGGTCCGTATACCACAGATGATTGAAGCTTTATCGCCGAGCCACGCCATCCTTCAGCCCTAGCTCGTTCTCGATCCTCCCCCGTGCCTTGGAGGCCGAAGAGGGCGAAAAGTTGGGTCGAGGCCTTCGGGCTTTCGAAGCCAAGGTCTCGAAGAAAATACAGCCTTAATAACTCTAACAGGGCTTTGGGGTCTACAGTACTATCCGCCGAATTGGGGGGGGGGGGGGCGGCTCAGAAGTCGTGTTTCACTGTTTCGGTTTATCTACCGACAGGGCCCACCGGCACGCCGCCCCCGGCCTGCCAAGGAGGCAATTCCTCTAGTAGGTTATTGAATGTTATTGTGATTTAATTCCAGTTCAAGGCCGGCCCCACCCCCTGAGGCTCTCAGCAGCACCACAACGCCCGCGGCCTGTCGGTGCCCGCCATGCATGCACGTCCCTGCTCCCCACCCGACTGTTCTCCCACAGCGCTTACCTTCACGTCCGGAGTTTCGCCCTGCCTGCTACTGGCATGCCGCGCGCGAAGGCAGGCACAACCAGTAGGGTAGTGTCATTCGATGCCCAACCCCTCAGGCCCCCAAAGCACGTTCACCATGACGGCCCAACGACGCCCACCTCGGCACCATATAAGGACCTCCCAGCGCCCACCTCAGCCTCCCTGTCCCCCCCGGCGAAGCCCAATGCATGCCCAACCCCTCTGACCCCTCAGCGCCCACTTTTCCCTCCCCTCCCCTGCGTCCAGTGCTTCCAATGCATGCCCAACCCTCCACCCCCTCCCCTTGTGCCCAGTGCAATTAGTTTAGTAGTACTTTAGCAATGCATGCCCAACCATTTTGGGGCCCGGAATATTTTTATTGTCATCCTGTTTCTGATTATCACCCGGGTCCTAAAATCAAGCGTTTGGCCGGGCCTGTGGTGATCTAGGCGGCCGCTTTTCCTCCCCTCCCTTTGCGTCCAGTGCCTCCTATGAATGTAGTACGTAATGTCAGTGTCTCTGTCAATGTAGTAATTTACTAGTACTCCACCCCACCAGACTCCTGTCAATGTCGTAGAAAAGTAGTAGTTTAGTTATTTAATTGAAGCCCTTGACCCAATTTAGGGCTTATCTCGTCCGCACAGTCCCCGAGCGCATGCATTTCTGCCATGCCACGGCTTCGGGGAGACCTTCCACGGCCTTCTTGATCTCTTCCCACCTCAGGCTTGGGGGTTTACATGTGGGCTATTGGTAGGAGGCACGGAAGACGGCGGGAAACGTGCAACCTTCAGCAGTCGTCTTCTGCTTTTAAGGACTTCAGGGCGAGGCTTGATTCACATTGCAGCGTCATGCCACGAGCACCTCGCTGCTGAATGTTCCTCTAGCGCAGAATCTGCCATGTTGGCTGTTCGGATAGTGCTTGATTTGCATTGAGTCAGCGTGCCCTTGCGCTGCTCCGAAACTGCACACCCGAAACCCGACAAAAATCCAAGCCCTACCCGAACCCTAAGCCTCCTAACCCCTTTAAAGACTAAAACGATAAACTCTAAACCCCTTGAACCTCGACAAACCAAGCCCGAATCGTGAGGGCCGCGCCGTGGGCAAAAAATCCACCAGAATTTGCACCGCCCCATTCCCATTTCAACCCCTACAAGCAAAACCCAAAGCAAAGTGGCGCTTTCGTTGTCTCTGTGCCGGCCTCAGAGCAGGGGTGGGCACTGCGGGAAAGCCGGGTTTCAGGGCTTAGGGTGCAGGGCTTGGGGCTCTTTTTTGGGGGTCTGGGTTTAAGGCTTTAGGAGTTCTGAGGCTCGTTTTCGGCCGGGGGGTCCACAGTTCGGGCTTGTGGCTCGGGGCTTTGAGATTTCGTTTGTTGGCGCGAAGGTCTTGTAAGGTCGGCCCAGAAGCCCAATAAAAGCACTGGTTGCATGTCCTCAGAAAGGTCAGCCATCCCATCCTGCACAGATCACTCCCAGCAGATTCGTGACCCACGGAACGGCAATCACAGAGGCTTCAAGCCGAGGTGCCATACAGCAGAGTCGAATGACGGCACGGTGCCTGGCGACTGCATTCACCGAAGGTCCACCAAACAAACAAAACGTAGCTTTTCCGCAAAAATTTGTCCGGAGAAGACCCACAAATCACAAAACGCAGCAAGGCCGAATGATCTGAAACCCCAGCGTCACAAGGTAATCTCTTATGGTAGCAATAATGGACATGTCGTCACGTCGTCCTGGCGATGCAAGGAATCGACATGATGATACCCAAAACCCCGAATGTTAACTGTGATGATACTAACCGTTACACAGCATCGAGGAGCCGAAAGTCATCGCGCACCAAGCGCCATTGGTGACACTCGGCCCGGCGCCTCGCGGGTATTCAGAGCTTCTTTGGGCGCTTTGGAGATTCCAGGGTTTTGGGTTGGTAATTAGTGGCCCCGTAGCCAGGGGATGAAAAAAAAATCAACCTTTGGGGTTATGGATATAGGGGGTATAATACCCCCAAAAAGGGTAAAGGTTACCTACTCTACTACTAAGGTCAGGAGTAGGCCAGTACAGAGAGCTTTGTTTGGGACGTTCAGAGCACGGGACTTAGATCCAGGGGCGTGGTTTAGGAATGGTCTGCGAAGGCTTCCCATCCTCGGGGAGTCCGGAGGATTTAGGATTTAGCTTCTGTGCTTGTTCTGGCTTGTTCCAAGGACCAGCGTCAGCTGCTTCGAGCGATGACGTCATCAGCGTTTTCATCCTCACTACCTCCATCAGCAGAATATCCCCTTCATCATCAGAGTCGCTACAACATCTTCAATCACTCCAAGCTTTCCTGTCAATGAGTTTTGCTCTCTTGGCTGCTTTGCTTCGAGTTCCGTGCTGTTGAAAGCTATGTCTAAGCCTGAGTACCGCTGAGTACCTGCAACCCTGAAAGCCCCACGCCGTAAGGCGTCAAACTTCCCAAAGCCCTCAACCCCAAATCTACAACCCCTCAAAGCTCTCTGCACCAAGCCCCCAAACTACCGAAGCCCAGGGGGTTTGCTCAGCTTCGAACCTAAGGTAGAGCTCGTACGCACGAGACGCAGAGTGCTTCTCGATGTTCGGCGCAGAGGCGCTCACGATCCTGTGGCTTCGGATTTAGGGTGCATTCCCTTTCCAAGTCTTTCGGGTTTGGGGTTCCCCTTCTTGATCAATGTCCCTTGAACTCAAAGCAGAAGGCCTCAAGCCCTCAACCCTGCATCCCTACTGAAGCCTAGGCTTGCTGACCAACGGCCTCACCACGTCGGCGACCTCGGGCGCAACCTTCGGATCGCTACGCGCCGGGCAGGTAGGTCCCTCCAAGGGTTCAGGAGGATCTATAGGATCCTGAGTATAAGTCCCTAAACCCTAAACCCTTGAAGGAGCCCCCGTGTCATCCGCCCCTCCAGAACCGACACCTGCACGAGGCGCTGAGAAGCCGCGTACTCCACAGCGAGGGCCTTGGCTCCCCACTGCAGCCCGGGACCCTCGCCCAGGGGGCCAGCGACATCAGCTCAAGGACTAAGGGTGATAAACAGGAGGTTTAAAGGGGGGTTTAGAAGGGAGTTTAAGGGGTTTCAGGGTTAAGGGGGTTTGAGGATTTAGGGCGCCCCTCGCCCTTCGTGGGCTTCGCGCATCGTCGCTCCAAAGACAATCATGACTCATAAAAACCCAACGACGCAATTGAAGCAGCAGCTGGAGTGTTGCTCCTTAGAATCTCGAACATGGGGCTACATTGGCTACAATAAGAGCCCTTAGACAAGCTCTTGCGTACTATACCTTCGCCCCCCCAACCCCCCGTGTCGCAAGAAGAGCCTAGGCACTGCCAGGAGGAAGAGCAATCCCTGACACGGTACCAAGGACTCCTGCGACGATTTTCGTTGGGCTTAAGGTCTAGGGCCTAGGGTTTAGGGCCCAAGGCATTTTTCGGGCCGCGGGGGCAGGGTGTTGGGCTTGGGGCTTAGGCATTGGATTCCACAAGGGTTGCTGGCGGTGTTACTGTCGGGGTTACTAGGCTACTGGGGCCGCTTCTTACTACAAGGAGGACTCTGCTGGGGGCCTGTATACTCTTCAAGGAACCAAGAAGTGCCCGACCCCTAAACAAGACCCCTTAACCCCTGATCCTGAGACCCATAAGCCCTACAACCCGTGGTACACACACCACACGCCTTCTGTTTCACGACCTTAGGCCTTATGCCCTCAGCTCCCGAGCCCTGAACCCGCGGTCCCGGGAGATGAAGGTCCGGCCTTTAGCTCCAACATGTGCCAAGGAATCATCTCAGAGCCGAGAATCATGTGGAAAGGCAGGTATGCCTCAAGGGCTGCAGAAGGTGCAGCTTTTGGGTTGAAGGCCACCGGCGTGGGTTGTGTTTGTAAATGGGTCTTCACCGGAAGTAGGGTTGAGCAACGAGTACGGGTTGAAGGCTTCGTCGAAGCCTCACAGGTCAACGCACAAATCCACCCAAGTCATGTTGGTAAGACTACGCATAAGATCATCATAGCATACCTCTATTATAGTGCCGGGCAAGAATGCGAAGAGCTCCTTGGCCTGGGCGGGTCTTACCCGCAAAAACTCGAGTTTCACCTGCAGAATCAAAACCTCCACGCACAAGCCTTGAGGTAAGGAAGCCTTTGGGGGTGTTTGGATCTCGGGCTCAGTGACTGCGGAGTTTGGAGTTTTCGGCTTCGTCGAAATTGCGTAGCCAAGGCCACAAAGGGCAAAAAGCCCCGCACGCCGCATCCACGGCCAGAAGAAAGTCTGAAACCCTCGAAGCCTCAAACCAAGAACATGTAACGATGCCAGGCTGACCCGAAGTGATGCCAAGAGAAGTTTCCGCGAGCTCGCCGGAAGTCTTTTCCTCGGAAGTTGTCAGTCATTTTGCTAGGAACTTAAGCCCCCCGAGCTGGGAAGTAGTTGAGGCTTGGGGCTCCTGGCTGAGGACATGGGTGTTGGTCACATATGAGAAAACATACAATGAGAAAATTCGTCCGTGATCTTGCTTCTTCAACTGGGGTTTGGGTTGGCCTCTCTCCACCCTCCGCACCACCAACAGAGTGCAACTGGATCCACGATTTCTCATTATGCATACTCATACACCCCGTATCCGCTCTATGCCCACTGTCCATGCCCATGCCAATGAGGAAGTGATCCAGTGACCAAAACCCTGACCTTCACTCTAATTCCTGAATCAAGCACTTGGCAGGCAGTGGCAGTGCAGCAGCAGCAGCAGTGGCAGTAGCAGTGGCAGTGGCAGTGGTCGTCGTCGTCATCGTAGGTAGTGGTAGTGGTAGTAGTAGTAGTAGTAGTTGTTGTTGTTGTTGGCTCCGACGCCCTGTAAACGCGCCAAACCGACATGCCGATTTCATCGGTATTTACAGTGTTTTCGTCACTTCAGGTGCCGA